TGACTGCTTATTCTCTTTTGGAACTTGTTTCCTAGAAAATACAATAGTTTCTACCTGCTAGGATTGGCCCAAGGATACAGGCAACATCTACAACAGGATGTTGTAGGGGAGGAACTCAGTAGATGATTGCAAAATAAAACCCAAAGGGATCCGCCCCCCCCCGCTCCCCCCCAGAAGAATAAGAAGCCAGCAAGCCTCCCCACCTTCCAGATCACCACGAAGGCAATGGAGCCTGCCAGCTGGTTCCCAAGGCCTCTAGATTGTCAAGGCCTGGCTTCTGTGGGAGCTATTGTGGCACGGGAGGCTATGTTCACTGACCACAGCCCAGCTGGTCTGCAGCTGCGGCTGCCCAAACCCTTCAACTACACTCATGTCTAAATCAGTCAGCTTTCACAGAAGGGTTGGCTTCCAAGTCACTTTATTCTGCTGCCTAAAATAAAGAAATAAATTAAAATAAATGAGGAAAAGCGGTGTTGCTTTTCTGTTCCTAGGACTGGTAGTTAACTTTTTTAAAAAAACAAACAAACAAACTCAGGTCCTCATTTTGCTTAGATTACCATATATAGCAAATGGGGCTAAAAAAGCTGACAACGTCCTTTGTGAATAAATTTGATCTTCTTTCCTTTTGGAACTCTTATTTTCTATTGTGTGTGTGTGTATGTGGGTGTGTGTGTGGGTGCGTGTATGTTGTGCAGATATGAAGGTGCCAGCCCTCTGTATACCACATCATGCATGAGGAGGTCTGAAGACAACATTTGGAGTCGGTTCTCTCCTTCCACCTTGTTTTTGAGGCAAGATCTCTCCCGCTGCTGCTGTTGTACTGTGGACTCCAGGCTCGCAGGCCTGCAAGCTTCCCAGAAATTCTTCTGTCTCCGGCTCCCATCTCACTACTACTCCATAACAGATGCAGTCCCCCGCATCCAGCTTTTTTCCACGGGCTCCAGGAACAGAATCCAGTTGACCAGGCTAACGGAACATTCTTACCCACTGACCCGCACCCATGGGCACAGGCCCTGGGTTTTTCAATTCCCACACATTGTCAGGTGTGGAAAACTAAACAATGTTCAAAGGAAGGTTTGGCGGTGCCCTGCCACGAGTCTTATTATCATTGACTTCTCTCTTTCCAAGTCTACCCTTCTTTGGCCCTTTGCACCAAAACTTTCTAGTTTCTGTATGTTTTTAGCCTTTGTAGAGTTAGAGATCAAACCCAGGGCCTTGCACTTCTAGGCAAGCACACTAACACAGACTTATGTGCCCACACCATTTCTGCCACTTTGGTATTTCTTCATTCCTGAGTTCTGCACAACATTTGGGTTGCCAACACCTCCTTCTTCCTAGTGTCTTCTAAGTAGCAATAGGGTCTCCTGGCTGCTCTCCTGCCTCTTGTCACTGCAAACTGAGCTCCATCCATCCGTCTGTATTCCTTTCCAGCTCAACTGCCGTCTATGGTTCTCCTGCGCTCACTCTTCAGCAAAGACAGCAGTCAAAAGACGGCTTGCTCTAGTCTGTTCTCTCCTCCCATCATGTGGGGCCCAGCGACGGATGAAGGTCAGTCTTGGCAGCCAGCTCCTGCCGCAATCCCCTTTAACCTGCTGAGCCATCTCAACAGTCCCCGCAAACTTATTGAACCGAATCACTACTCCGGTGTCCATTTTTAGCCTTGATGTCAATTATTTGAAACGCAGTGTCCTCAGTCTAGTTAAGACGTCTTCTTTTTCTGTCATTTTCTAAGATATGACCTGCATGATCCTCATTCCATCGACCCTAAACCCAGCACACCCCCATAGCTGCTGGCCATAATAAAATCTAATTGACAACGCCAGACAGTGCAGCAATGCCCCCTCCCTCCCTTTCACCCTATATTCTTTTAGCAGGTCACAGCTTCATAAAGCCACTGGTCGGAAGCAAAGGCCAGCAGGCTGACCCAAAGTAGCATTCACTAGTGCAGGTTTCATTAGGACTGTTTCATTAGAGGGAGGGGTCTACACCGATGGACCAGGAGCCTGATTCCCTGAAAGATCCCTCTGCTCCTAGTTTCCAACTATACTACAGGTGCCTAAGGGCAAGGACTGTGTTTTGCAATCAGGATTTCCATCCAGGGTCCAGCCTAGGGCCTGACGGTGACGTAAATGTTCGACATAAGCCCCCTGCAGAGACATTGATCCCGGAGGGCAAGCTCCCCGCACTTCCCTAATGTCACTGATGTCACTGGGGCCAGAGGTGAGCTAGAGTGTCACTCTTTTTACAACGGGGTCTTGGCAGAGTTCTGGCTCCACACTCTGAGTTCGAGCTACACTTTCACAGCTCTGAACTTGAAGTTACCGAGAAAGATGGGCTGAGCGGGGTACTCTGACCCGGAAGAGACAGCCAGCCATGTGCCTGTTTTGTCAGTCAAGCAAAAAGGAGTCTCTCCTCTGCTCCTCCTGAATTCACTTTCTGAGGGTGCCTTCTCGCCCAGCAGGTGCCACCACTCATTTGCAACAGACAGAAACAGCAAATTGCTCCACACCCCGGGAGCTCCGCCAGCTTTCCCGCCCGCGGGGCGTGGTCCTGGGAGGAGAGCCGCCTCCCGGGTGCGCCAACGCGGGGCTCGTCTGGCAAGCCCGGCCGTTGACTCTTCTCTCGCCTAACTGCTGTAGCGAGTGGAGGCCTGGCGACCTGGGCTCTCCGCTGCGAGCATGCAGTTCTCACAGAAGGAAGGAAAGAGAGTGGCCGGGAAAGAGTAGACGCCCTAACTGTCTTTTATGAAGACAGATTTTTAACTCCCCCTCTGCTACTTTACCCATCAGAAGAGAAACTGGGACCGGGTTGTGGTGGCCCATGCCTTGAATCCTAGCACTCTGGAGACAGAGGTAGGCAAACCTCTCAGGTCGAGTCTAGCCTGGTCTACAGAGCAAATTTCAGAACAGCCAAGGCTACCCGGAGAAACCCAGAAGCCAAAAGAAGGAGGGGGGTGGGGACTTCTACAGATATACCTGTGGATTGCTACTTCCAGTTCTAGTTTGCTACTGACTTATTCAAACAAACAAACACAAGTCTTGAGCCCAAATTAGCCTATTTCCTGTCCCTATGCCTAAGGAATTCAGGGTTAAAAGAAAAACAAAGAATCCCCGGAGTTTTATATTAGGAATGTTTCTAGATTATTCTTGAAGCCACACACGGTTGCTAATTGGCTCCCTCAACATACCCCTATGGCCTTATTTAAAGACAGTGCTCATGGGTGTATTTCAGCTGCCTGTACAGAGTTCCATTGCAGTTTAGTATGGGATGAGCAGTGTGTATTATTTGTCTTCACCGACCGCTCATCAAAGTAAATAACTCTGGCTTCCTCCACGGACCCACAGTTGACCTGAGATTTATCCCTCCTGGTCTAGGAAGTGGCCTGTTTGTACCCCCAAAGAGAAAACCCAGCCCTTTCTAAGGATGACGTTTGAAAATGAGACACAAATTGCGACATGTCAAGCACCTCCAATGAGCCTTTTTAAAAAGGCGAGAGGGGCTCCTGAACGATAGGAATTACTGTGCATCTGCTTTACACCAGACTCTACTGGGTGCTGGGAGGGCATGATGGCTCCAAGGAGAGGTTCCTGACCACTCACAGAAGGCCACAAATAAAGGTGTAATTACAGATTGATGTCAGAGCCAGGAAAACAGCTCCTGGGATTTGAGAATTGGGGGTGGGGTTAGGGGAGTGTCTCTAAGCAGAGGATGATGATGGAACGTGAAAACAGAAGGTTCAAAACAGAGCGAGCGCGCGCACGCGCGCGCGCACACACACACACACACACACACACACACACCACTTCCTAGTACAACTCCCTTATTTATAGACAAGAAAACTGAGGCTCAGAAGACCTAAAAGATTTGTCCAAGGTCGGGGCTAATTAAGGAAACTAGCCAACTGCAACACCCAATCCCTTCCTGCTAATAGCCATGTGTTTATTTATAGCTCAGTTATAGATTATCCAAATTCATTCGGCCAATAAAACGCAGAATATTGAGTTCAAAACCACTCCCCCTAAGACCACAGCATAAATAACGGCGGTGTCTTAATACCATAACGATACCTTTTCATTAAATACGGAGTTCTCATCCTATCAAAATTCAAGCGCTTGGTTCAGTATACAGAGAAGGTCAGGTCGTAACCCTGTCTAAAATATCCTGGCAGCGCTCACTGTGCAGGGCTAATTTGGGTGTGAGCTGTGTGTCCCGGCTGACTTCACACCCCAGCTAGGGTTTCAGACCTACACGTGGCTTTGGAGCGATACCCTGGGGATGAGCCGCTGCGGGCTTGGCGGTGCTCTCCACTGTGTGCGTGAGCCGCATGAAGAATCCCTTTGAGAAGCCCAGGAGTTTCCTCTGGCAATTTTGCGAGGAGGGCGGGGGTGGAGTGGAGGGAAGACGCTGTGACCGGAGATTACCTCGGAGGCTGGACCGCAGTGGAGAGGGCGTGTGAGTCGGTCTTTTTTACTCCAGACTCTGCAAGTGTAGTAATTGTAATCGAGTATATTCCGGCACTGTGCATGCAATATACATACTTATTTTTTTCAACATAATTCTTAAACGAGACTACAATCCCAGTAGAACAAAGGTGTGTCTTGGCAGAGGTCAATATTTATCCCCGATAAGAAACCTGTGACCACCGTGAGTCCCCAGGTTGAAAATGTGGACTTCACGACATCTTTGCCCGGGATTAGGAAAGTTGGTTGCGTTGGAGGGAGGGAGGATCGCCGCACTTGCTGCTCGCACCCCGAGATCGCGAGTCCGCGGGGTAAGTGTGCGCTTTCTGGCAGGCGCGCCCCCACGTCCTCACACACCCCATTAGCACGAATCGGCAAGGATGGGACCGCGGAGGGGCGGAGCCTTCGGAGCCCCGACCCCACCTCTCCCGCCCCTCCCTCCGCCCCGCCCGCGCTCGCCCCCCGCCCGTTCCCGGGGCGCCCGGCCCGCCCCCTCCCCGCCGCGCGCAAACGAACCTCGCGACACCGCGCTCGGCGGTGGCGGTGGCGGCGACGGGCCGGGCGAGGGAGCAGGTTAGCCCGAGCCGCCCTACTCTGCAGTTGTCTCGGAAGCGCAGGCTGCGCCCTGAGCCCTGCGCCTGGGAAACACTGGCCGGCCAGCCGCTCCCGGGACCGGCTCCTCCAGGCGCTCGCAGGCATGCAGCCCGGGAGCAGGCGGCGCGCCCCGGGCCGCTACTGAGTCCGCGGAGCTGCGGAGACCAGCTCCAGCCGGGCCCCTCCCACCTCGCCCAGGGACCCACGAGCGACCGCCCTACACCTAGTCTTCACGCGCAGCCCCGCCAGCGCCACCCCCCGCGGGCTGGAGGGGCTCATGCAGCCGCCAAGGTAAGCGCGGACAGCGGGGCAAGGGGTCCTGACGTTCCCAAGGCGCCGCCGACACTTGCGGTGGCCACAGCGCTGATCTGCGGTTCCCCCAACCCAGTGTTTCATCTCACACATTTGGGGCTTTGCCTGGGATGAATCGTCTTCGCTCTCTTGGCAGCAGGAAAGTTTTGTGGTTTGGTGTTTGTTCTTTTTTTCCTCTAAAATGCTGTCCTGCGGGCAGCAGGCGCTGCGCGTGGCTGGGCAGACCCGGCGCACGTCCCACCCACTGTGAACCGGCCTGGAGCTCCCTCTTGCGCGGCCACCTCTTCCTGAGGCAAGAGCCCCTTCTGGCCTGCAGAGCTCTGGACAGGTCTAGCCACCCCGCTGACCCACCGTGAAGCCCGATTGGCTCGCCTCACCCAGGCCGGAGCGGCAGAGGCTGGAAACGAGCGCGCCTGCCCGGGGTGTGGGGGTGGGGGGACGTTGGCCCTGTACACCGTCCAGGTTCAAGTGTGAGTGACCCCTGGGATTGTCTGGTGTGCGAGGCTTGGAGTGGGTGCTAAAGGGAGAGAATCCGGAAAGGTTCGACACCTCCAGGACTCGGCGCCAGACTTGCGCCTTGGCTCATTCCTGAGTATGAACTAGGGAAGAGGGGCAGGTGTATGGGGGGGGGGGGGGGAACCAGTGCAAATGTGAAAGACGCTCGGGTGCAACTCTGGATTGCATCTTACTGAAGTAATTGCATTAGATTTGCTCGGAGGGAGAGTCAATTTCCCCCAGACTGGGATTTTAATGGGAGCCTGTGCGCTGTTATTATGTGGTGTGGTTTCGGAAGGCGTTGGATTGTATTTATTTTATAAATTGGGTGTCTTGAGGCGGATGGATTAGGGAGAATATCGCCATCTAGCGGAAATGGTGAGCTCTGCCGTCCTCTCAAGCCTCGAAGTTGGGCGTCCTCAAAATTAGACGCCTGTCCGAGGTGGAGAGATGGAAACTAGTCCTGTCCAGAAAGACTAGTTCGCAAGTGTCCCAGTCGTCCTGCCGTGCTGGAGCACTCCGATGCCCGGAGCTTAGCTCCAGGGCCCGAATGGCGAGTTGTATTAGTGGCAAGAAGTCCTCAAGGACTCCCGGTTCCCTTCTTTGTGTAGTTTTAGGATCTTCCAGCAAAAACAAGGTAAACGGTCACCTGGTGTCTTTCTGGCCCAGGGATCTGGCATGTCTGTACCGTCACCTTACTGATCCCCAATGTATCTATATCTATACAGGTGATCTGTGAAATTAATGTTAAGCCATGACCCTTAGGAAAGAGATTAGGCCATTCTCACACAAGGGGAAGAATTCCTGCTGTTCTGGTACCGCGGCATCGTGACAAGCGAGCCTGCTTCACTGAAATGACGGACTGCTCCACGGCGTGCAGATGGACAAAGGCTCTGGGTGGGGCACCCACACATCCAGGCAGGCTGCGCCTTCTGTATGGCTGGTTTGTACTGCCACCTTCCAGGCCAGCCGATCCTAGCAGGGAATGAGATCTCTGTGTGAAGGGCACTCTGACTCCTTGGAGAGCCCTGCGGCTTTCTGCCTGGGATGAAGTGCGTTTCCCACCTCCGGACTCCTCTGGGCTGCGGGCTTGCAGTGGTAGTTGGAGGGGGGGGGGGCAGCCTCCTTTTTCTTTCTTCTTTCCTTGTAAGTCTTATATATCCCAAACTAGTCTTGACTTCTCTATGTAGCCAGAAATGACCTTGAACCTGTGATTCTCCTACTTCTCATCTGAATGCTGTCACCGGATACAGGCACTGTTGGGAATCGAACCCAAGGCTTTGTGCATGCTAGGCAAGCACTCTACCAGCCGAGCCACATCCCCAACTCCAACCTCCTTTTCTCACCCCTCCCAACCCTACCCCTTATTTCCTTCCCTGGTGAGGACTGGGGCTTTCACTCCTAATACACACGATGTGTGTGGCTGCTCTGCCCAGCACATCCCTGCCGTTCTGTCTTGGTTCTGTCTCCCCCACTCACACAATCTGTTTAATAATCATGACAAAAGGGCCCTTCAACTAGCGTGGTGTCTTCTTAAAGGGGGGGGGGGGGCGTATCTGACTTGTGTTGCTGCCTGCCCGGGATGTGGATGACAGAGAAGAAAGGCATGGAAGAGCCTGCTTAGTATGATCCCTGAGTCTGCTCCTCAGCAACTTTCTGTAGTCCAAGTTCAGAATTAAAGGAATAGATGCTCCTCACCCCTGACTCCACGACAGGGAGAGATCCAGCCACCCTAGCCATGATGCCCACTGCTCCCAGGAAGCAGGCTGGCATTTTCACTTCCTGGAAAAGGATTCCAAAGAGGTCAAGGGGAATGACCATAGGTCTGATTCTCAACCTGTGGGTCACCAACCGTGGTCCTTTCCCAGGGGTCACAGATCAGAAATCCTGCAGATCAGATATTTATATTATGATTCATAACAGTAGCAAAATTACAGTTATGAAGTAGTAACAAAATTTTATGACTGGGGGAGTCACCACAGCATGAGGAACTGCCAAAAGGTCGCCCATTAGAAAGGCTGAGAACCACTGCACTAAAGAGCTCTTTCCTACTACAGCCTTGCTAACGGAATTAGGTTCAAAACCATTTATGGCTGCCGAATTTGGCCAAACTTTAAAGTATGCAGGGTAGACAAGGAAGCAGGTATGCCCCCTGAATCCTTCAGAAGTAGGTACCCAGTGTGGGGGGAGGGGAAGTGGTATATCCACGGGGAACAGCAAAACCAAAGGAGGAGGATCAGAAAGCCTCGCAGACTAATTGGAATATGTTAACTCTACGAAATAAATGAGGTGAAGCCCCTCTAAATGCACTTGTTCAAATTACCTTTGTCTGCTTCTGTTTCTCATGGGGTCCTTGAGGACAAGGGCTTTGCGATCCAAACTATCATTGTTTTGGTCATTCAGCAACCTTGACTGAGGTTAACCTGATGAAGGCAGTCTCTGGTTTTCCCATCTGTCTGGTTTCCAGCCCGAATGACAGACTCCTCTCTCTTTAACCAACAGCCGGATTCCGTCCACCCTTCTCTTAGCCGTGAACAGAGATGACGCGAAAAGTGAAGGACCGCTTCACCAAGCGTCACACAACATCAGGCAGACGTCAGTGTCCTTGGCGACAAATACACATTCTTAAGGAAGACGTCTAGTTTCTTGTGTCCTTTGACACAAACATGCTGCACACAGTTAAGCAAGGGTCAGAGGCAGGAAGCCTCGTGAGGTGGTTCGAAGGACGAGAAGAAGCAGTTTTGAAATCTTAGCAGAAATTGACGATGTAAATGCCGAAGTCTTTTATTTAAGATGTTTTAAAGGCTCTGCTAATTGACGAGCCTACAGTGGCATGCCCTCTGAGTGAAGAACAGAGGTGTAGCAAGCACAGTTTACGGAGAGGGTTAATGGCAGAGTTCCCCATTGGAGTTACTTTGGGTTTTTCAATCGTCTATTTAAAGCCCTGCTGCCCAGAGGTAGAATTTTCAGAAATCAAAATACTACACTAGCCAGAGTGTGAAAAATCAGAGGGGAAAAGAAAAATCCCTGAAAAGAAAAGATTTTACTAGCACAAGGCCGATCGCTTTAGAGTCTGTGCCGTCCGAGAGCCAAAGCAGAGATCACACGGCGGAGAGATGCTCTTAAATGTGTTGTCTTCTGTTTCACTAGAGCGCTTTAATAGGTGCCACGTTCGTTCACCTTCCAGGACGCTCAGATCTCAAGTTCCTTGCAGGAGCTTGCCCTGCCCGACAGCAACAGATTGTCCTGTTACCCGATAGTGCTTTCTGCTCTTATCTGTGTACACAGAGCTGATCTGCCGGAGTCCTCCCTGCCAGCTTCTGTACTATCGCATTCCTCTTCGCGTGACTGTCTCCTGGAGGACGGATGCGGACAAGTTTCACTTGTCCGTAGGCATGTTGAAGAATCTTTTCCTCCATGCCAGGTTAGGTGGGAACACACGAACACACCAAGACTGACTCGCGGCCGCCTTGTAGATGTTTATCCCCTCACGGGCACCGTCAGCTGTCCTCCAGGTAGTCTATCACAGGACTCATTCTCCTCTTAGATTTATGCATGGTGCTCAGCTCTGTATGTGGCGTGTGCTCCCCCCTCCTGAGGGTCCTGTTTATAAACCTTGAGGTCACGCTGGGCTTTCAGTTTGCTAACACAGGTTGCGTTCGCGAAGTTTCGCTCTGTTTGTCTAAGTTTGATAGCCCACTCGGTCTTGCTGGCTGAGTTTTCCCTGGCAGGGATACCCATCTCATCTGTTCAAATGCTGGCTCTTGAGCTGCTGGGCAACAACCGCGCAATCTTGCCGACTTTAGAATTTAACTCCCAGTGTGCATTTTTTGCCCTTGATGGTGTCATCCTGAAAAATAGATTGTTTTTACAAAAACATAACCAGGGGGCACTTGAAACCAACCCCATGAGGATTTTTTTTTCCTGGTCATCAGAAGAGCACACCAAAGTGCATAGCTCGTTGACAGAACCACAGAAATTACAGGGTTCCCTTAAAATAATTGGTACCTTGAAGAGAATAATAATATTTGGACATCTGGACGGGTAATGTGCTTTTATTCTCGTTTAAGTAAATACCTCTGATGGGAGACGGTATCATATAAATAATCAATAGAGTTTTAAAGCAATTGCATTGCTGAGAGACTGCTTCACCCACAGCTCTCCCGAGAGTCATGGTGACGTCTCCTGCAGGTCCATCCCTGCTCGGCACGGCAAGTCATTTTTGCCCTAGCACGTAAGATTCCTGAGAGCTTGGCTTCCTTCGTCACACATCGCTCACGTCAGCAGGAACAGTTTGCTGTTCGGCCTTCAGAATGCTGTCTGTTTGAATTGTGTCCCTGAGGCCCAAGCCTTGGGATTGTCCCCTGATGGGCTTTTAGGGCATGACTGGATCTTATGCTCTGGCTCATGACGGATCAACCCATGTGGATTCATACTTCAGCGGTGTTGCTGGGGGTGATGGTGGTAATGGGAGTGTCAGGAGG